TTTGGTATATCATGAACTGTTTGGTATATCATGAACTGATGCAAAAAAAAAACGTTGGTTTTTGGAGGGTGGGGATTGGAGTTTGGGGTCGGGCAGGGGGAGAAGAAATCAGGGGGGAAGTGGAGGGGGTCTGGGTGGTTGCGAGCTGGGGTTTTAGGTTGGTTTGGGTGTGGGGAGTTGGAGGGTGGGTGGGGTGGTGGTCATGGGTGATTGGGGGGAGAAGAAAATCGCGCCGGGGGATGGGCTCTGGTTTGGGGAGGATTTTTTAATTCTATTTTTCTGCAATTTTTTCCCCCAAAAAAAATATTTTTTAATCAATTTAAAATTAACAAAAAATGAAAATGTGGGACCCATAGTGCCATGTAGGCAACTAATGGAAAGATTTAACCGAAACCCTAACGGCGGAACCACATTGCACAAAATTTACAAACTAAGGGTACGTGATTGTTAAAATTGAAAAGATAGGGACTAACATGCCTTAAGGGTACAACTTCAGGGTACCATACTGTAATTAACCCTACTAGTTATGAGTTCAGTGATGCTAGTGCTATTTGTAGGGGCTTTTTCATTCCAGTAGCTACAGATGGGCTGTAAAGAGCAAATGTGTGGAGAGGTGATGCTTGCTCTCTCTGGATGTGGCTAAGATGATGGGTAAGAGATGCCTCTTTTTATAGGCGCTAGAAGCTCCTTTTTCCCAAGAAACCCTAGCTGGTTCTTCCCAAATCAGCCAAGTCTCCCCCTATGTTCCTCTTTTCTTCCTTTGATTCATCCATATTTTGTGAAATCCCCCTAATCCAAACACACACAGACAAGATTTTTGGGAGCTCTAGAGTCTTCCTACAGCTGTCCCTGTGGCAATCTCCTATCTTTGGCTACCATCTCTCCTTCTTTCCTCCCTTATTTCATGACAAAAGCTGGTAGGAGAAAGAAATAGGTAACATCATTGGTCTGAATGGTGCTTTTCTCCTAGCAACCTGCGCACACAGATATCCTTTGGTTTTTAGAATGGTCTGTCTTGGGTTTGCCTTTGGCCATGGGCTAAAGACTCCCAGCAGCCTGCGCATACAAATATCCCTTGGTTTTCTATAGTGATTTTCTCTCTAGCCATGAGCTGGAGACTTTCAGATATTTCCTAAGTCACTTGGGCCATTCCCTAAGGGGTAATGGGCTAGTTTGCTAAGGGGAAGAGCTAACCTTTTAGAGCGATGGACTATTTTTACTAAGATAATGGGCCAAATTTCTAAGATAATGGGCTACCTTTTTCTTTTTTTCATGCTTACCTACATATTTGGGATCAAAAAATTGACTCGAGTTTTGGGCTCCCAAGTAACCCAAAACTTCCACTTCTTGGCTCATCAATGGGCCTTGTGAATGCTCGTAACCATCCATACCACAACCCACTCAGTAAGCCTCAAGCATTTGCTTGGCTTGGGCCCACTTAAGCCTGTAGCTTGGCTAGGTGAAAAATAAGGGTTTTCTGCTTGGCATTGCATGTCGATTGGCGTGCTCGTGCTTGAATTTCATCGTTGCTTTACAACATGCGGATCATAACCCAACTAATCAAAGAGTGATTTGCGACTCACAACCCATTACACTTTCTTCAACCTCTGTGAGGTTGTGAGAGGCTACGGCAGCTATCTCTCGATAATCTTGCCAACCAAATGAAGCCCCCGAGTGGCGTTCTTCCGGCATGTCCAATGTGAATACTTTGCTGCTAGAACCATCATCCCATGCATTAACAAATGGCCATTGGGTGTTATAGCTTGAGGGTCTTGAATATTTATGCCAGTAGGCTTTCTCCATGTTTCCGCAAGGCTCCCAAATAGCCTCTGATGGCTTTGGGTCATTCTTCCACAAGTGGCACAATACATCGTTGTCGAGCAAGTCATTAAAGCATGTAATGACAGCAGCCATCTCCTTCCCCTTAGTTTTAGCAAGGGGTCTTCATCAATAGCTTGCCTCTTAAAGGGTAGCTCAAGAGTTCCGTCTTGTATCTCGGCGTGTAGATCTTCCTCAAAGTTCGACAAGCAGTGGTTGAATGACCCACAAATTGATGATAATGTCAGTACTTAGGATCACCCTTTTCCTCTCTGGCAGGGACTTTGTAGGGCTTGAGGGGTTTGATTCCACCATGAACAAACATTGTATCAAGAATGGCATGGAATTCTTCATCTTTGCATGTTAGTGGTAGGTACATCTCCCTGTCTTTTTTTTTTTGTGTGCATAAATTGTAGTTACTTGATGATTTGGGATCCTCATCTAATGTCTGATGTGCTTCTTTTTCTTCACTCATCCAAGCTTCTGTTTGTGCCTAATAAATCACGACCATGAACTGGCCGAAGGAGCCCCTTTTCTCGGCCCAAGCACTTCCTCGAGAAGCTAAAGCGCAGCGTTTCGCCAAGGTGTTTTGCCTTCCTGAAAACAAAAGAAGTTGCCAAGGCATGATCATCTCGGGCTCATATCAGAATCAAATCATCACATGATATCAGGGTCCCATGCTTCATTTAATGAAGTAATGCCTCTGTTTATTACAGAAAACCCATTGGCCACGAATAAGCATTTAATGCATGAGGGAAGGTGGGAAGTGACTGAAGTCAGGGTTTGGCCACAGGAAACAGAGTGATTAGACGTGGACATTCTCACAAGAATTCTTACAGCTTGAGAGATTAGGTCACCAGCTATCAGAACAATAAATGCGTCTCCATGGCCAGAAGCGCAGAGCCCATGATCAAGGCGGCGGCCGAGATTCACCAGGATTTATGGGGTCACACCACCATACTTCACGATCCCAAATCTCGATTAGACTGCCCACTTGCTCTAATCAGGCTCCACCATGCGGATTTTCAGCCTCGAGTACTCCTCCAAGAACCCTTCCTATAAATACGAGGCTCAAGCTACATTCAAAGGGTTCAAACACCAAACCAAAGCCTCCCATGGAGCGACTTATATTTTCCTGTAATGCACTTTCAATATCTTTACTTGTTTTCCTAGGAGTAGTGTTAGACTGTAAGGAAAATTCATTCATCAATATATCATACGACCCTTGATTTTCAAGGCGCCGGAGCATCATCCTTGTTATTCGCTCATTCACCCCATATATCATACGACCGTCGCTCCCTGAGCAGAGCGCCGGAGCACCGCCCAAAACCCACCAACACCATCACTAAACGGCCTTGTAGCTCAGGCCGTGAACCTAACAGCCGAGATTAGTTCCTCTCTCGG